GCTCACCTGCTTTTTTTTTATAGAATGCAGGACCACCAGCTGAGGGGGGGTGTGCCGCCATCCACAGTAGGCAGGCCCTCCCCATTAATCACTAATTAGGAAAATGCCCTAAAGGCATGCCTACAGCCTGATCTTATGGAGGCATTTTCTCAGTTGAGGCTCCCTCTTCTCTGATGGTTCTAGCTTATGTCAAATTGACAATAAACTAGCCACCCAAATGGGTTCTGGGTTCTTGGGGAAATGGAAATTTGAACTGTGTGCAGGGCTAATTCAAGATAGCCATTACCTGTTCGCAAGATTGTGAGGAAGGGCTAGGCAGTGAAGATTCATGAAAGAAGCTATCCCCCCATTCCCCAGCCTGACCCCTCCACCCAACCCCCCACCCCCCACCCTCCACCCCCTGCACTGGAAATGGAATTACAGCTTCATTCATGATAGGTAAGTATTCTATCATGGAGCTAACCTGCAACTTGGGGAAGCCATAGTCTTTTAGTGGCCAGGACATGGAGGAAATATTGACTTAGGAATGAAAACCCTATGGGTTCTGGGTGGGGTAACTAGTAAAGAGAATAAGACATTGACACCTGTCACCAAGTTCCCAGAGGTAAACATAGTTCACGGAGGCTATGGTGATTGGTCCTGTGGGACCCACAGTCAGACCTGAGCTCTCCACAGCTCTCCAGAGGGATGAGACCCGCAGAGCCAAGGCTTCTGAAGACAGGCTGAAGCAGAGGTTGCAAGGGCTGGAGGCTGAACTGGAAAGGGCCCGAAGCGAAGGAAAGGCCGTATATGCAGGTATGATTTGACTGGCCAGGTGGGCAGGAGACAGAGGCATGGAAGAGGACAACCAAGAAAGTCAGGGAATTCAAGGAAGGGGCATGAAGAGGAATTCTGTCATAGCCTACTCTACTGTCCCTGAATAGGCAGGGTCCGGAGACCCCTGGCAGGATGCAGAGTACCCCATTCTAGAACGTCTAATGCTGCATGCTTGGTGTCTGTGTGAAACACAGTGTAGCCACAGCCCTTTACCTTTGTTTTTGGGAGTGGAAAGAAGGGTCAGGGTCCCCTTTTAAGCTGTTGTGTGGGGAGTCTGGTTTTCTAGCTCCCAAACTCCTAAGGTCTCCCAAGTTTCTTCATTCTGTTCCTTCAGTGAGACTTTCCCCCACACGCAATGTTGTCATTTCCCTTCTTGGTGCCTTCATCCCTATGGCTCCCACCTCAGAGATGAGCCGCCAGCGTTGGGCCCTGAAAGAGGAGGTGAGGACCCGAAGCAAGCATCTGGAGGAGAAAGTGAGAGGCCTACAGGAGCAACTAGGTAGTCCCCATCGCCCACCCCTTCTTCCCCAGGCTTGCCAACAATCATGGAAGAGTGGACCCGGGAGGTCCTTCTCTTGGTGTCTACAGTCTTCTGGTTGGATTTTAACTAGGGTCACTCTCGCCCTCGCTTTCCTCTGAACTGAGAGTTGAGTGGCACAAACCTCTGTGTTAGGGGCTGAGCTTGGCCTCTCGGGGGAGTTGGCTCAGCAGTTAAGAACACTTGTTCTTACAGAGAACCTGAGCCAGCACCCTTGTAGCAGCTCACAAGCCATCTGCAAGCCAAGCCCTAGGGGATCTAATGCCCTCCTCTGACCTCCACAGACACCCACATGGTGCACATACATTCATGCAGGCAAAGCACTCATACACATAAAACAACAAAATAAGTAACTCTAAAAGAAGAAAATAAAGCTGGGCGTTGGTGGCGCATGCCTTGATTCCCAGCACTCAGGAGGCAGAGGCAGGTGGATCTCTGTGAGTTCAAGACCAGCCTGGTCTACAAGAGCTAGTTCCAGGACAGCCTCCAAAGCCACAGAGAAACCCTGTCTCAAAAAAAAAAGAAAGAAAAAAGAAAAGAAAAGGTAGGACTCTCGCCCCATTCCCCCTTTGCTTAATCTCCCCCAAATCCAGCAGTTACCCCCTTCACTGACTTGTCCATCCCAAGCAAAACACATTTCTTAGTAGTTTAGCTGAACTTTGCAACCAAACTATAGAAAACAATAGACTTAATTTACTTCAGTATCTTCAGACCTGGGCACCTGGTAGAAGGCCTTAAATCACTACTTGTTAAATCAGTGAATAGACCAAACAAATAGGAAAACAGGTCAGAAGAGGGCATCAGATACCCTGGAACTGGAGTTAAAGATGATTCTGAGTCACTGGGAACGAAACCTAGGTGCTCTTAACCACTGAGCATTGCTCCCATCCCCTCCTGAGTCTATTTATTCCTGAAAAAAACCAAAGTGGCTTTGAACTCACAGGGTTCCTCCAACCTCAGTCTCCTGAGTTGTAGGATTACAGGTATGAGCTATCACATCCAAAACACCTTCAGTGTCACTATAAATATCCATGAGCTGCTTATACAGGTCAGGGATTCCATCTCTAACCTTGGCCTTCTTTCAAATTAAAATTCAACATTTATTGAGCACCTGCTACATTGGGTACTTTGTCATCCATTTTCACATTTAAGGGTCACAGCAAACAAGAGCAGTGTATATCATTTTCTCTCCAAAGATAAAGAAGGGGCTAGAGAGAGGAGGGTTCAATGATTATGAACACAGGCTGTTCTTCCTGAGGGCCTGGCTTTGATTCCTAGCACTCACATGGTGACTCACAACCATTATAATTCCAATCCAATGTCCTCTTTTGTCCTCCATAGGCACCTGCATACATGTACACACATGAGGGGGGGTAAATTTTTTTAGGGTTTATTTATTATGTATATGGTGTTCTGTCTGCATGTATGACTATGCACCAGAAGAGGGCACCAGATGGCTGTGAGCCACCATGAGGTTGTTAGGAGTTGAACTCAGGCCCTTTGGAAGGGCACCCAGTGCTCTGAGCCATCTCTCCAGCCCAATAAAATTATTTTTTAAAACCCAAATGTAAGATTAAAAATAAATAAAAAGATGTGTAAAGAGAGAAACTGCTCCATGTTAGTTGGTACAAGTCTATAATATCAACCCTGGGAGATGGAGATAGAAGAAGATCTAGACTGCAAGGTTGTCCTTGGCTACATGGGGAGTGTAAGGCCAGTCTGGGCTACATAAGGCATGGAGACCTAGAGATACTTGTCCCATGCTGTATATGTAACAACCACCAAACTTTGGACCCATCTCCTGTCTCTCTCTCTTTTTTTTTTTTTTTGTTGTTGTTGTTGTTTTGTTTGTTTGTTTTTCAAGACAGGGTTTCTCTGTGGCTTTGGAACTTATCCTGGAACTCAGAGATCTGCCTGCCTCTGCCTCCTGAGTGCTGGGATTAAATGTGTGCGCCACCACTGCCCAACTTCCATCTCCTGTCTCAAGATCTCTGTTCTCTCTGCCACCCCTCAGTGAGTCCTTATAGAGACTCCGGGAAAGTTGATGACCCTGAAGTCTGTAATGACTCATCAAGGTTGGTTACTGCTCTTGGTGTAGTGTCACCATCCTGTCTTCTTTATCTTTCTGCCCTGCTCCCTAGACACATGCCAAAGGGAGGCTAAGACAGCAAGGGAAGAGACTGAGCAAGCTCTCAGAGAGCAGGAAGAAACCCTGGCTCAGCTTCGTGCCCACGTGGCAAACATGGAGGCCCAGTATGAGGAAATCTTGCATGTAAGCACCACTCCCTGGAAGCCATTTTCAGGATCCCATAGCCCTCCATCCCTATGCTCCCAATGAATGTGATGACCCACAAGCCAAGGGAGCCATGCTCTATTCTAAGAGTAAACAGAAGATACAACCATTGACAGTCAGTGACTTGTAATCCCAGTACTTGGGTGGCAAAGGCAGAAAGATTTCAAGTTCAAGGTCAACATGGGCTACCATGTACTATATAGGTGCTACATAGACGGACCTAGACCAAAATAATCAGGGGCTATGGGTACAGGCCAATAGTAGAGCTCTAGTCAGTATGCAAGGCCAGGGGTTCAACCTCCCTAACAGAGGTGGGGGGAGAGGAGTGGGGAGAAGAAGGAGCAAGGAAACAAAGGAGTAGCACAGGTTTGTAATCCTACTATTCAGGAGGCTGGGAGAGGAGGATCATAGTTCAAGGCCAGCCTAGGTACAGAGTTCAAGGCCAGCCTAGGCAGTATAGTAAGAGACTCTACCTCAAACTAAAGGTAAAAAGAGGGATTGATGACAGTTCAGTGAACAGGGTGCTTGTCTAGCATGTGTGAGGCCTTAGTTCTATCCTGAGTGCTTAAGAGAGAGAGAACAATGGGCAGCCAGGAATGGTGCCTCATGCTTGCAATTCAGTACTGGGAAGCTGAGGCAGGAGAACTCTGAGTTCAAAACCAGCCTGGACTACAAAGCAAGGGTATCTTACAGAAGGAGGGAAGGACGGAAGGAGGGGAGGAGGGAAGGAAGGAAGGTAGGCAGAAAGGCAGGCAGGCAGGAAGGAAGGAAGGAAGGAAGGAAGGAAGGAAGGAAGGAAGGAAGGAAGAGGAAAGGAAGCCATTGACAAAGAACTGTTCCTAAACAAGTTGGGCAACATTCCCCCTTCCCTCTTTTCCTGGGAGCTGAGAGCTTGGTGTTCACAGGGCACCCTGGACTGTCTCTTGGCCAAGCTGAGAGCTGCCAAGCCTCAGTGGGATGCAGCTGTGCTGAGACTCCACACCAGGCACAAGGAGCAGCTACGTCAGTTTGCTCTCAACCCCCTGGAACTTTGAGGCCGTTGGCCTCTAATCTCTGAGGCCTATTAATAAAGTGACTTGGAGTAGAATTCAACAGAACTGTGAATTGTGGCCTTTGGCATTGAGGAATGGCTCTCATGGGGGATATGTATATTCTGGGTTAATCCATTGTCCCACTGTCCTAAATGCTGAACAGTAAGAAATGGACAAGGTTCTAAACCCTCTCCTACAGAAACTAGATCCCATTCCCTTAAGCCTGGAGCACCTTTGGTTCCTTCAAACTACCATTGCTTATCCTCACCAACAAAAACACAAAGCCAGATGTCTATGAAAAGACTGCATATATATGCATATATATATGTATGTATATATATATTTACTTATTTATTTGGACAGTGGCATACTAAGGTGTTCATGTAGAGGCTAGAGGACAGCTTCCAGGAATTGGTTCGCTCCTTCTACCAACAGGGTTCTGAGGATTGAACTTGGGTTGTCAGGCTTAGCAGCAAGCATCTTTACCAACTGAGCCATCTCACTGGCCCAGTGGGAAAGGTAGTAATAGGACATTAAAGTGGCCAGGAACCAGCTCCCAAGTTTCTTTCTTTCTTTTTTTTTTTTTCTTTTCGGTTTTACGAGACAGGATTTCTCTGTAGCTTTGGAGCCTGTCCTAGAACTAGCTCTTGTATACCAGACTGGCCTCAAAGTCACAGAGTTCTGCCTGCCTCTGCCTCCCAAGTGTTGGCATTAAAGGGGTGCGCCACCACCGTCAGCTCCAAGTTTCTAAGGTGTCCACAGAAAGAAAATATGGCTGATCTCCAAATCCTTGTGCCATATAACCCTGGAGTCATAGCTAGCCTAAGTTCTCAATGACTTCGGTCCTAAATGGCTCCATAGCATCACCTTCTTGGGCAGAAGAAATTCATCTTTGTAGCACATGTCCTCAGAACTTCTACAGAACATCCCATGGGGACTTGGGCTCCCTCATGAGCCAGCCTGAGGCCTCTGTCCTCACCCCTCTGCTGGAGGTAGGCTCCTGAGAAGGGAAGAAGTCCCCGGCAGTCACGAAATCATTGGTGTCTGAATCTTCCAGCTCCCACTTCCAGTTTGGAGAGATCATTCCTGGCTCCCTCCACCTCAGGGTGCAGAGCAAGAGCAGGAAAACCACTAGGCAAGTCTGTGCCAAGCAGGCATGTCCTATAGTATCTCCGAAGCCAGGCTCCAGTCCTACACAGAAAGGACAGAGTCAGTCTGAGACCAGAAGATTTCATTTTCCTGTTCCAGCATGTTCTGACTGCTCAGGAATGTGTCTCCAACTCCTGTGACCTATAGTCCCCCTACACATCCCACAGGGCTCTACCCAGCAACCCTCCCCTCTGTCCTTTTCATAGCTCCGTCTGTTTCTTTGACTTTACCTTTCCAGACTCTGAGGAAACCCAGGCTTCTAAGCCCTGTGAATTCCTAGCTGCCAGCTTCAAGCAGAGGGGTGGCTCCACCTCAGCCAGATGCCGAAGCCTATCCAGGTCATTGTCACCACCCACAGGATATCCATTCACCTCCAAAATTGCATCTCCCATTTGCAGCCCTGCTCGGGCGGCTGAGCCTCCTGGGGTCACCTGGCAGTATAGGGGGGACACACAGAAACATTGGTCAAGTGTTCTAAGGATGGGCATGTAGGTAGGCAGCGGAAGGTAGGCGATAAATGATGTAAAGAGCCCAAGGTGCATGGGGCATCGGTCACCTGGGAGATGAAGAGACAAGGCCCACTAGCCACGCAGCAGAGTCTGAATCCATAGCCACCTCCAGGTCCAGGGTACAAGCAGCATTGGCGGGAGCCAACAGTGCCAGGAGGCTCAACTGCATCTTCAATCAGAAGATCTTTGGTTTCCGCCAGAGGGGAGGCAGCAATCTCTGGGTTCTCCAAGAAGAGGAGGGGAGACAGCCGTACCTGGGGGTGGGGGCAGAGAGAGCAAACCTGTGGCACCTGAGCCCTGCTCCATTCCTACCCCCTCCCTAACCCCGTCACTTGCGCACCATGCTGAAGAAGCGGTCAGCCTCAGGGTCGACGACAACAAGGGAGACACAAGAGCCCTGTGCTCGGATCCTGGACACGGTTTCCTCATGGCCCAGCCCATCCACGCTTTCCCCAGCCACAGCCACCAGGCGGTCTCCAGCCTTCATCCCTGCCTTGTCAGCTGGCAGTCCTGGGTCCACCTCCCACAAGAACTGCCCTGGGACATAGACATACTCACTGTTCCTCCCTGACCCACCCCCACGCTCGCCCAGGGACACTGAGAAGAGTGCAACTGGATATCCACGACCATCCTAAGGCCCCCTTCCTACCCTGCCCCGAGGGCTGCCACTCACCGAGGCTACCATCCAGGCCCTTCTCCTCCCGGAGCAGGAACCCAAAGCCTTGAGGTCCTTTTTCCATGTTTAGACACCGGGGCTTGGCAGGTAGTGCCCAGCCCTCTGCCAGGGGTGCAGCAAGAGGCATGCCCAGCTGATGACACTGTTCCTCTACCTCCGGCCCTGCCACCAGCAGAGTCACCTGATCTCCACTCTGAGAAAGCTGTGGGGACCCAGAAAGAGTATAAGCATGAACCATCTGTGTGGGGATGGAGAGGTACATATCTCCTCAGCACCTCTCCTAGGCCCACACACACACAAAAGAAGGGTGACATATACAGGCCCTTAGATCAGGAGGCGGGATTCACGTAGCAGACGCCACAGGAAGCCCTACCTTCCTACTGAGCTGGTTGGAAGTGAACTTCTCCACGCAGACCCCATTCACTTCTAGCAGCCGGGCCCCAGGGGGCACCCCTGCTCTCTCAGCAGCTCCTTCTGAACTGAGCACCAGCCAGAAAGGGCCCCGAGTTCCTAAAAGCAGACAAAGTAACTCCCGGTCTGCTCCTTGCCTGGAGCAGAGGCTGAGTTCCCCATGCCTGACCACCCCATTGGGCCCTAAGCTCACCATGGGTGATGCTGAAACCAAAGCCTCCTTCGTCTTTTACTACGTGGCACAACCGGGGCCTGACCTCCGGGCCTAGGGCAGGGCAACAGAAGACCTCGTTCCCCTGCTGAGCGCGCACCACATCGTACACTTGTTGTGCTAAGACCGTCAGCAAGACCCGGGGACCGCTGGCCCGGATGCAGCGCACTACCTATAAAAGGACATGGGAGAGAGGTTGCCCCCCCCCCGTGGGATCCCAGGACCCCTTAGAACTTGTATTTCCGTTGTAGAAACCAGTTCTGTAGGAGCCTTCGTGAAATCGCTCTAGCTGGGTACCTCGAAATCACGGGGACTAGGGAGAGTGAGGCTTGGCCAATGAATGCATTAGAGTGCCTAGGCTCCTCTTCCTCTTGCAAGTGCTATGGAATGAGTCCCAGCCCAGCCTCACCATCGCATAGTCCTCATGTTCCACGTTGTTATTGTTCACCGCTAGGATCCGGTCTCCTTCCCGGAGACCGTGGCGCTGGGCAGAAGAGCCTGGATCTACCCTGCACACCACATGGTCAGCCTTGCCCAGCTGCTGCAGCAGATGGAACCCAAAACTCTTTTCCTCCTCTTTGCTCAGTAGACAGAAGCGAGGCCGCTGCAGGTTCCAGGGATCTGGAGGAGGGGGTGGACCGAAAAAAAAAAAAAAAGAGGGGGACACAGTCCAAGTACAGGGCCATCAAATGGCTGGTAGCCCCTGCATCATCGGAGCACTGGCAGCTTCCAGCCACTGAGAGGGTGGGCTTTAGAGCTGAATGGACACTTCTTGGGCTGGGTGGATAACACAAAGGGAGAGCTGCCTCCCTCTGCCTCTGTTTAGTTACTGATAGCACAGGGAAGCAGTTAGTGGTTACCAAGGTGATAGCAGGCTGTGTGGTGCTGAAATGTCTCTAGGGAAAGGTAATGGTTGCCAGGGGTGAGGGGGGTTACCAGACTGGTCCTGGTCTTCAGCCAGGGAGAGGACAGGATTGTCAATGCCCAGCCTTGGATTAAACTTAAACTTCCTGTAAGGAGGCAGGGGAGAGAGGCAAGTAAGAGAAGTATGCAGCTGGCCTGGGGTCCCGGGTGCTACCTGAGGTGCTAATGAGAGCTGAGAGCCCCCCCCAACCTTCGATTCCTCTTCAACCCTCATAACTTACAGAGTTAATGCAGCTGTATCTCGAAGATCTGCTGGACAAAGCAGAGGTAAGAGAGACACGCTCCTCCCCGAGGTGGGACTTCCATGGTGAAAACCTGCCCCCGTTCCGCTCCGCTATCTTCACACGCAGGAGTGTTAACTCCCCTTTATGTCCCTTCCCCAGTTTTGTGGCACATAAATCTGAGACTATCCCCACAGGGTGTGGACCAGGAAGACAGACGTACACACTCACCTCTCTCCTCTTTAGCTCTATCTATTGCCTCAGAGCTACAAGCCCCAATATCAAGTGTGTCCTGGACCCAAAGACTCCAAATCCGTCCCCTCTGCGGCTGCCCCAAGTCCCCTTTCAAGGCTGTCTCCCCACCTCCTACCTGCAGTTGCCTCCATAGTTGGATCGGTGACCCAGGACTTAAGAGTAGGGACAAGGTTCATTATAACCAGCTGACCCTCCCACCTGCCCCCTCCCGAGTCACGCCTCCTTGAAGACACTGCAAGGAAGCAATAGGGTAATGGTTAACAGCAATGTGTATGCCTGCTTCTTCTGCTCCCAGTCCTAGGCCCTATCTTTCTCAAGAGAGCCTTTAACTGACCCAGTTGTTCTTGTGCCCAGAAAAGAGGTGGATCCCTCCCTGGTCATTGGGATTTCAAGCTGGGGGCAGTAAGTATGGGAAGGGGGATAGGAACTCCAAGGCCCAGCACGGACATGCTCATCCCAGGGTCTTACACGCAGCCCCTCCAGCAACAAAATTATCTAAAGACGTTTGTGTCTCCCCCTTTGGCTGTCAGACTGTTCAAACGCTGGGTCCCAGAGAACTGGAACTTCTCCAGGAATCTTAAACTGGAGAAGAGGAAAAGATGAAGCTCTCCCCAGTGCCCGCCAGAATTTGTCTCCCAACAAGAGATATCGTAGAGTTCTGACAATTTGTCAGATCACCTCACAGGACAGATCGGATCAGAGCAATGAACCAGTGGCCTCTGTGGGCACACACACACTCTCTCTCCTTTCACACATACCACCACCTCCAGGCTACAAAGAAATAAATGTTTAACTTAGAAGAGTGGAGAAGGAGCTGGGTGGTGGTGGCGCACGCCTTTAATCCCAGCACTCGGGAGGCACATGCGGGCGGATTTCTGTGAGTTCGAGGCCAGCCTGGTCTACAGTGTGAGTTCCAGGACAGCCTCCAAAGCAGTACAGAGAAACCCTGTCTCGAAGAAAAAAAAAAAAAAAAAAAAAGAAAGAAAGAAATTATTTATGGGGGGCGGGGTATGTGAGAAAGGAGAGAGAGTGTGTGAGTACCCACAGAGGCCAGCAGAGGGTGTCAGATCCCCTGGTACAAGTGGTTGTGAGTTCCCCCAACATGTGGTTGCTGGGAATTCAACTCCTGTCCTCTGGAAGAGCGGCAAGAGCTTTGAACCTGCTAAACCATCTCTCCATTCTTTCTCTGCTTTTTCACTATTCTCTTTTTAAATAGCTTATCAAGGATTAGTGAGTCGCAGAGCTCAGCTTGTTAGGGCTGCCAGGGCCCAGGCATCGTACTAAAACTCCAGCAATCCTACTGCCTCTGAGTCTAGTGGTCAGGAACTATCCTCAATAGAAAGTAAACCAGACTAACCCTTTCTTGGATCACCAAGCAAGGAAGAGGAGACCACAGGGAGTGGAAGACACAAGCTTTTTAATAGCAGCAAAATGGGCACACTTATCCTTAGTGACCTCGGAGCCATTGATACCTGTGTAGTTGAGGGGACATGAAGCTGGGAAAAGCACCAATGTGAGGGCATTTTGCATCCAGAGGTGAGCATAAGGCAGGAACGGGAAGCCATCCAGTACAGCTGCTGGATGGCAGAACCCTCAGCATGACAAACAAACATGAGAGGTGTGCCCCTGGGTAACACCATCAGAGGGGGAAGGGGAAGATTGGCGGTGGGGCCACAGTGCAATTAGGCCACTCATGTGTCATGTTCTTCTTAGTCCTTCTAGGCAAAAGAAGAGGTGACACGATCAATATCCAAGTCCAAGCATCAACTCGCTCTATTTGACCTTGTGAAGTCTAGCTTGGGGTCCTGGCTGGACTTGTTGTGGGCTGGGGCAGCACAATTGTGCCCATTGTTTTGACTGCAGATCTTTCTGGTAGGAGTTGTGCACTCCAGGAAGCCATAGAGGGAAGGGTTTGGGGGCCAGTGGTCCCACAGCTAGGTCACAGTTGTCACTGTCTCAGCATCCAGAGCCTCCCAGCTGCTCCAGAAGGGTCTTGACCTCACTCTCCACTCGAAGCAGCTGAGCCTTGCGCCAAGGATTAAGGGTGGCGCCTCGGCTGTCTTCCAGATCCCGAAGCAACAGCTTGAGATGGCTCTGGACCCGCGCCGGGTCCCAGCTGTTGAGGTTGCGCTGGACTTCACTAAGGATCACCGACCAGTACTCAGAGACCGCTGCTCCTTCTGTCAGCGAGGCCACAACCCGTGCACCACCTTCGCCAGAGCCCCCCAAGTCCCGCAGGACCTGGCGGCCCTCTGAACTCAGCTCATTAAAGTAGAGGCTGGCGGGAAAGAGATGGAAGGATGTCATTCATTGGAGTTTTGAGAAGGCCCAAGGTAGATATAGGCAGAGAGCCAGGAAGCCTTAGAACTCCGTTCAGGCTGCTGTGTGGGAGGGGCCAAGCGTCTGTAATAAGAGCTGTGGAAGTAGCTCAGGTGGTAGAGTGCTTAGTATGCACAAAGCCCCGGGTTCACTCCCTAGCATCACAAAAAGAATCTGCAATAAGCCAGGGACAGAGGTAAAAGCCAGTGGAAACATTTAGAAATGGTGGCAGGGAATAGATGCAGGTTAAGGGGTAATCACAGCAGACTTGGGTGGGCTCAGCACTGGGTAAACCAGGATAACAAGGGAAACACAGACAGCAGGCTCAGGTCCAGTGCAGCCCGTGGGTAGGAAGAACATAGTGAAGAGAGGGAAAAACCAGGGTTGGGCCTGGAGCATGAGACCAGCCCAGGACTTACTGCAGCAGCTCCAGAGAAGGGTGCTCCTGAGCAGCCTTAGCCAAGGCCAGAGCTGCTGCGTCACCAGCACCGTTGTAGGCCACGTTCAGTTCCTGCAGTTGCTTGTTGCGGTTCACCTGGGCGGCCAGCAGCTCCAGCCCCTTGTCTCCAAGGTCAGTATGCAGCAAGGACAGGTGCGTCAATGAGGTGTTTCCTGCCAGGCCCTCCAACAGCAAGGCAACCCCTGCTGCTGTCACTGGGTTGTTGGACAGCCTAAGGGCCATAAGCAAGGCAAGGGAGGAGGGGTATTGTAGATGTCCAAGCTGGGTGTTAGGATTTCAGCCAAAGGGGGCACATGAGGCTTGGAGGCCAGCCTGGATGCAGAATTCAGGTCCAGGAGAAGGGACAGTGAGATGACAGTGGTGCCGCCCAGGAGGGGGAGTGAGGGACAGCAGGCTTCTCTTCACCCTCCTTTCTATTTCTCTTGCCTCCTGATCCACCCCCCTCATTCCACCCCCGCCCCATTTCCTTATTAGTCCCCTTCTTACACCTTCCTTTACTGCCTCCCCAGCCTCTGGTCCTCCATGCTTTCTAATTCCACCATCTTTCTGTGCCCCGCCCCCCAGCCCCAGTTTTCATTAGAAAAGAAAATTCCTTATTTTGTGCATGTGTGCCTGTGGGTGTGAGGTGAGGGGAGAGGCTATGGAGATCAGAGGACAGCTTGTGAGAAGTGGTTCTTTCCTTCCAGCCAACCTGTGGGTCCTGGGGATTGAACTCAGGTCATCAGGCTTGGCAGCAGCCACCTTCACCTTCTGAGCCATCTCACCAGGTGTTCCCTTCAGCCCTCCCTTCTTCTTCCTCATTCACCTTTCCTGATTCTAACCAGAAACCAGGACCCCCAGGCATCTGGGTTCCTAGGAAATCAGCCAACATCTTGGGAGCAACTAGAGAGTATCCAGCATTATGGTGAGTCAGCAGGGAACAGTGACTCTGTTGCCAGGCAACTGGCCCAGAAATTACTGCAGCTTTCCTGTCCCCCAGGCTAATATTAGACAGAATAAAGGCTTTCTTAGCGCCCACTCTTGGTGTCTTCCTTGCTACTTTCTTTATATTTATTTTTTGTTTGTTTTGGGGAGACTGAGTCTCTCTGTGTAGCCCTGACTGTCGTGTAGACCCTGCAGGAACTTGTTCTGTAGACCAGGCTGACCTTGATCTCAGAGGCCTGCCTGTCTCTGCCTCCTGAGTGCTGGGGTTAAAGACGTGTGCCCCCGCCTTGCTCCTTTCTGACGTTTGTAATAGACCTAGACTGGGAGCTAGCCAGAGCCCAGACAACCTCTTCTAGAGCCAGGGCAGGCCTGTGCCAGCCATGCTGTAGGCAGGGTGCTCTTCATGTCCCAGGCCATCAGAAGAGCCAGACCCTCCCATCAGGCCCCTGCTGGGACACTCACCACAGAGTGGTGATCTGGCACTGGTCGTGTAGCAGCAGGTCTCGGAGGTCCCTGCAGGCCTCAGGGCCCAGGTTGTTGAGTTGCAACCTGCAGCAGAAGGTGGCCAGAGGGGAGGCCAAAGAGCAAGAATGCAGTTCGGCATGGGTCTTCCCGTGGGCGTGCCCCTTCCTCACCACCTGCTTCCTGCCATCCATGCTCATCTTCCCTCGTGCTGTGCCTGTCACCTCTGTCCACACCGCCTCCGTCCCACTCTGCTGGGGTCTGCTATGTCACGGGACATGAGTGGGAGGTTTGTAGCTGTGTTGCAGGAAGGGAGATGGAGCCTGTTTTGAGGAGCAGGAAGGGGATCTGCGCTTGGAGTGGATTAGCTGAACTTGGAGGCACTGGTTCCCACCAGAGTGGGTTGCTGTCCAGCAAGTCTTCTCCACGTGCCTGGTCTTATCTACACACAGCTGTTTCCTTCCGTTCTTCTGCTGTGTTGAGTGCAGCCTCAGGGGCCTTCTCCAGAAGACGAACCCAAGCGTAGCCTTTCAGCCTCCAAAACTATAAGCTCCTCCCTCCTTCTTGAGACAAGGTCTTTTTATTTTAAGGATTTATGTACTTATTTTATGTATACGAGTGCTCTATCTGCATGAACGCCTTTATGCCTGAAGAGGGCCACTGAGAATTAAACTCAGGACCTCTGGGAGAGCAGCCAGTGCTCTTAACCACTGAGCCATCTCTCCAGCCCCAAGAGACAGGGTCATACATAGACCAGGCTGGCCTGGAACTCACAGTGTAGCTCAAGCTGAACCCACACTCACAGCACTCCTCCTGCCCCAGGCCAGGCCTAGCCTTAGGTATTGTAGCAGCAACAGAAAGCCGACTCACACATGTCCCCTGCCCTTTTTTATTCCTTTGGTCTCCCTAGCACCTTCTTCCCCCCCTTCCTATCCAACCCCATCTTCTCTTCATTCCTGTACCTGAGGATTAGTCCTCACCCCAGTTTCCGGGCACGCAGGAAGACAGGCATGAGAGTGTGTAGCCCAGCAGGATCCAGCTGGCAGGAAGCCAAGTTCACCTCATCCAGAGGGTGCTTTCCACTTCCTAGGACAGCGGCCACTACTGTGCACTTGAGGGGTGTCATGCGCACACCTGCTAAATTGAGCTGGCGCAGGGAGCGGAGCACCTCGGCTGAGAAGCGCTGGTTCTGGAACTCATAGTGGAAGAAGAGATGGTCAAGAAGCTCTGAGGGGGGCAGCACCTGCCGCCCCATCTTCCCCAGTTTCTTCTTGATGGCCTGGGCATTCTCCAGGGCATCCAGGTTCTTGATAGGGCAGCCAAGCTGAACCAGCACGGCTCGGTTGTGGGCCGAGAGAAGACCCCCCATGAACATGGGGAAGAGCTCAAAGACTTCATCCTCAGGGGGCTCATCTGGGTGGCGCCGGGGGCCCTCCACACCCAGGATGCTGGCACCCATCTGGTCCAGAACATCGTCATTGTAGTAGTCCTCCTCCCGGAACATCTCCAGTACCATGGCCTGGGCCACCGCCTCCTTACTCTTACTCACCATGCGCCCAAACACGCGTGGAACCACCTGGAAGAGATGCATGGGAAGGGCATGGTCTTCCACACATCCAATCAGTCTTCAAGGCTCAGTGCAAGATAGACCTGCTCCCTCCCACTGTTCTAGCCTTGGGATCTCCCCTTGAACTCACAACACCATTGGCCAGATCACACTACTCCTCCTTGCTGTGACACCCTCCACGGCTCCCCACTGCTTGTGAGGCAAACTCCGAAAGTTTAGTCTGAAATAGGAAACTTTTCATAATCTGGCCCCAACCTGACTTTTCTAGTGTCATCTCTTAAACACTTGCTTCATGCTCTCCAAATGTTACGGACCTCTTTCTTTTCCCCAAGTGCCCATTCATTTGCCAGTCCAGGAGGTGGTGGGAAGAAGGAATATGTAGTACAGTTGTCCCTCCACAGGGGGTCAGTTCTGGATCCCTTGTGGATAGTGGATATCGAACATGCCTTGTAGACCAGGCTGGTCTCAAACTCACAGGGATCCGCCTACCTCTGCCTTCTGAGTGCTGGGATTAAAGGCATGCGCCACCAATGCCCGGAAAATTATTTTATTTTTTATTTTACGTGCCTGAGTGCTTTGTCTGCAGGTATGTATGTGTACCATGTGCATGGATGATGCCTGTGGGGGTCAGAAGAGGACATTGGAGCCTCTGGAACTGGAGTTACGGATGGTTGTAAACTACCATGTGGGTGCTGGGAATAGACCCAGGTCCTCGGCAAGAACAAGTGCCCTTAAACACTGAGCCATTCTGCCTAGCCACTTGCACTTCTTTTGAAGATTTGCTTTATTTTAACATATTTTATTATATGTGCATGTAGGTATGTGCACATAGATGCAGGTGCCTGAAGAGGCCGCAGGGGGTTGGGCCTCCCCAGAGCTGGAGTTATAGGTGGTTGTGAGCCACTAGACATGAGTGCTGGGAACTGAACTCAGGTCCTCTGCAGGGGTAAAAGAATCTCTTAACTCCTGAGTCATCTCTCTAGGTCTCTACAATCTTTCTTCAGATGTTTTCCTTATCTTTTTTTTTCAAGACAGGCTCTTGCCAGCTGGTGGTGGCACACGCCTTTAATCCCAGCATTCAGGAGGCAGAGGCAGGCGGATCTCTGTGAGTTCGAGGCCAGCCTGGTCTACAGAGTGAGTTTCAGGAGAGCCAGGGCTACACAGAGAAATACTGCCTCAAACAAAACAAAACAAGAACAAAGATAGGCTCTCACTGTTGGAGTCCACATAGCCTAGACTTCAAGGTCCTCCTGCTGTAGATTCCAGGGTACTGGGATCACAGGCAGGCGCCACAAGCCCTGATAGGCAAATATTTTCTTGCTCTTCTCCTCCTCTTCCTCTTGTCTTTTCCTTGAGATGGGGGTCTGCGTCCCAGGCTTGACCTGGAATGTCTAGATAGCTGAAGCTGACTTTGAATTCCTGATCCTCCTGCCTCTGCTTCCCGAGTGCTGGGGTTACAAACATACACCAATGTATCTGGTCCAAACATTTGCAATCTGCAGTAGGATGCATGCACAGACAGCAGATGCAAGGGGCTGACTTTCAGCTACTCAGTTGGAGACCAGGCTGGGTGTTATAAATATATCAACACTTTCAACATCCTGATCATCCCAGCAACCACGATTGATGCTGCTGCTTCATGGTCCCACATGATAGCCCCTGCCAACCTCAGTGCCCTCATCCCAAGCCTCCACCCCTGCTTCCTATGCTCCCTTCCCTTCGACTTTTCTTGTCTTCCTCAGGACTGAGGCTCACCCTTTTCCAGAGCCTCCAAGATGCTGCTTGCTAGAGTTCCTGCCACCCCAATTGTTCTCTTGGCGAATCCTTCAGAAATCAGTTTAAATGCTTTTCCAGAAGGCTTTCCTGACCACTCAGACCAGGTATGTCTATCTCTCTGAGAACATCAGAATTTTTCTTATAGGCATTTATCACTTTTCATTGTGTAGGCATGTTGACTTTTGTCTTTGGTCTGTAAAATCAGAAAAGGCAGGAACCTGCAGAGATTAATTGGTTTCTCCCACACATTGCCCAGTACACAGCAAGTACTGAAATATTTGACAGAGAATGAGTTACAGGTCACCTCCCATTCTTGCAAAGAAACAGGAGGTTATTTGATGGCACCTCCTCTGGTGTCTCCATCGTTTTCCTTTTTCTCCTTTATTTTCTTTTTCTTTTCTTTTTTTTTTTTTTTGGTGGGGGTGTTTTAAGACCAAGTTTCCCTGTGTAGCCTTGGCTGTCCTAGAACTAGCTCTATAGACCAGGCTGTCCTCAAACACAGAGATTTGCCTGCCCCTGCCTCCCAAGTACTGTGATTAAAGGTGTGCACCATTACCCAGCTTATTGCTCATTTTTCAAATGTGAGGTTCTTGCCACAGAAGTGATAATACTCATTATTAGTCTGGGAACAAGACCAGAAAATAACATTTTGTGAAGATGAATGAATATGATTATCATGAAGGCTGAGGATGTAGTTCAGGGGAAGAGTGTTGCCAGGCATGTGTAGGACCCTGGACCCAACTCTCAGCTCAGAAAGAAGAGGAGTGTGAGGGCGCATGTGCATGTGTGCATATGTGGATATCCTAGATCGATCCCAGGAATTGTCCTCAATGACCCTTTCATCTTATTCTTTGGGCAGGGTCTGTCAATCAGACTGAGAGCTCACTATGCAGCTTGCTCCAGGGATCCTGTGTCTTGGCCTTTTGAGATAGAATTATGGATGACCCACCACAATCATTTAGCATTTTCATGGGTTCTAGAGATCCAAACTGAATCCTCATGCTCGCACTGCAAGCATTTTAACCATTGAACCATCTCTCCAGCCCAGTTTCCTCAAGTTACAGAAAGAGATTGGAGCCGTAGTTCATCTCCAGAAGTCTAGGGCTGATTTGCAAACAAAGGAAGAAGCAGTGAGGCATCTGGCAGACATCAGCAAGACTGGCTCCCTCCATCCACCCCAGGAACATCCCACATCCGCCCTGCTCACAACATCACCCTCAGGCCTGCCGGCTGGTTTCTAGAGTGGACCTGAACCCAGGATGGACTGTTCTAAACCAATTACCTATGTCATCCATCCTCCCAGAACCGATGAATAAATGGCATCTGCTTTATGAAACCCATCTCCTGTGATTGAGTTAGCATGAGTCATCGCTCCTGGGGCCCAGTCTCCTCTGAAGGAGCAGACACAATTGAGTTTCTGGGTCTGGGGTTACTGGGGATGTAGCTCAGTGGCAGAACATTTGCCTAGCAGGTACAAAGCCCTGGGTTCAATCTCCAGCACCACAAAAAGAAAAGGAAAGGAACGTTTCTGGGCCTGCAAACTATACTGCAATGACACAGTCTGCCTCCCAGCAGTAGAAAAGAAAAAGAAAAGAATTAAAAAGAAAGAAAGAAAAAAATCCTTGTTAGAAATCTATGTGGGATTGTTTAAAAAAATCCCTGTAACCTCAATTCCCCTCTTATCCCCATTCCTTTCCACCAAAAGCCAAATTTCCAGAAGATTTCCATGCATGCAAGAGGCAGCCTCTCCCCACTAGAAGACAAAAAATGCATACAAATCATGAGGTAGTCTGGAATCCTGGGAGGAAGGAAGGAAGGAAGATGAAGAGAGAGAGAGAGAAAAGAGAGAGAGGGAGAGAGAGAGAGAGAGAGAGAGAGAGAGAGAGAGAGAGAGAGAGAGAGAGAATGTGTGTGGGGATCTTTACCTTAAGCAAGTTGAACAGGAGAGGCAGAATCCGCAGGGGCAGTAGCTTGGCCGCGATGCCCAGAACCAGGCTGACATCCTCCCCAACACGGCCCACAAACTCAACCACTTCTTTACCCACTCGCTGCAGGGCTGTCTTGCGTAAACCCAGCACAATGTAGAGGGCAGCCAGGTATTCCTGCATAGCGGGCACCGTGAATACGAAAGTACCCAGGTGTCCCGGTTCCACACACGGGGCCAGGAAAAATCTCAGGGCATCCCGTCGGAAGATCTGCAGCAGTTGAAATTCTTCCTCTGTCTTGATGCCAGCTTCCAGGCAGCCACGGACATCCTCTTCAGAGAAATAGGTCTTGCGGGATGACACCCCCTCATAAGCCAACTTGCCCATGGTTCGGGCTGCATAGGCCATCAGGGATAAATTGGAGGGATGGGTGCTGTCCAGTGTTTCGCCGCTAAAGTTCAGACGCAGGAAGCTGGTATAGATGCTTGTGAGGGTCTGACCAGCAGGTGTAGGAGCATGCAGGAAGTGCAAGGTAGCACAGACCAGCCAGCAATAGGAGGGCAGGAAGCAGGCAGCGGCAATCTGATGGTGCCCCTCCAGGTTTCGGGACAGCATCTGAATCAGGTTGTCCCGCTGAGCTGGTGTGGCTGAGACACCTGCACCGTATCCACAATCGGGCTGGTTAAGGCGGAGCTGGAAGTAGAGCTTCTGCAGGTTGGTGTCAGAGAAGCCACAGATCTCACCATAGCGGCCCACATACTTGCTAGGGATACGGCCGATGGCAGAGGGTCGGGTGGTTACCAGAATGCTGGCCTGGGAAGGATATGGTTAAAGATTAACAGAGAAACTTCTGTGTCTCAGGAAACCTGATTGTTTCAAGCCCCTAAAGATGGGGGCGGGGAGTCCAAGAATGAAGGGAACCATAGTTATCAACATTATAACTAACAGTGCCTGGCATGGTGGCACATGCCTTTGATCACAGCACTTGAGAGGCAGAGACAGGTAGATCTCTGTGAGCTCCAGGTCAGCCTGAGTTACATAATGAGAACCTTTCCCAAAAAAATGATCAACATCAATTACTGATTATCTACTATGGCCCAGGCATAGAGCTAAGTACTTTATATACGGTATCTCACTTAACCCATACAGAACAAGGGCAGAAGGACAAAAAAGTTTGAGACAATAAATGACTTGCTCAGTGTCACACATTTAGGAAGTGGAGGGGCCAGGGATTGAACTAACCTAGGTACTGGCCTACACAACAACCAAGTAGGCCAAGAACAAAATCCCCTATGGAGAAGGTTAAGGGGCAGCAGCGCCAGGCTGTAGCAAAGAGCAACCCACCTCAGGAAGCATGTATTTGCGTAGCAGGTTGACCATGATGGCAGCTGGTGCCCCCGGTTCCTCTGGGTCATTACAAAGCCCTGTCCCTGCCAGCCGGAAGTCAAGGTTGAGACGCTCCAAGCCATGGAGCACAAAGAGCAGTCGGGATCCGGCAGCGGCCATCAGGGGCAACACTTCCTTCAGGGGTGTGTAACGCTGGGTCACAAGTTGGCACAAGGAAGCTGGGGTGGAGCCCAGGGATGACAAGTCCTCGCAGGAGAAGGGGATGAGCAGCTCAAAGGCGGGCAGCCTCCCGTAACACCAGTCTAGGACCATCTTGCGTACCAAGGTGCTCTTGCCAGTACCCACGGTCCCATACAGCACCACTGTCTGCACGCGGCGCCCACAGGCATCTGGGTCAAAGAGCTGAGACAGAGCCAGTGGGGGCAACCCAGCATGGGTTCGTTGATGCCCTGGGGCCAGCTCTGTGGATGGGCGAAGCAGCTCATCTGGGGTGCTCTCGCGGATCACAGGGTCAACATGGACTGTGTCTAGAGCAAAGGTTGGTCCAAACTGACGCTCCTCTCTAGGCAGCCGGCTAAACCACTCCATGAGGTTCCGGCGATGCCTTTGGATGGCTTCTGGACAAGAAAGCAAAGGACACGGGTCAAGGCAAGGGACTAGAGATGCTTGCTCTTCGGGCAGCCAGGATGGCCGTAGGTCATGGTAGGGAGTCAACACAAAGAACTCAAAGATACAGGAGCCCATTGTGGTGTGGGCACATAGAATTCCCTTGACCAAAAGATTACTAGTAAGGTTTAGAAGTCCTCTGACGGAATGCAGGCAGTCTCTGAAAGAAGCCTGGGATAACTGCCTTCCTAACTTTTTCTTTGTATAGTCTTTTTTTGTTTTGTTTTGTTTTGTTTTGTTTTGTTTTTACGAGACAGGGTTTCTCTGTATTGTTTTGGAGGCTGTCGGTCCAGCCCGGCCTTGAACTCACAGAGATCTGCCTGCCTCTGCCTCCCGAGTGCTGGGATCTCTTTGTATAGTCTTAACTAGTCTTAACCTGGCTACTAGACCGGGGGTTGGCTGAAGGCAGGGAGAGACCGTCTCCATAAGTGCTTTGTGTATGGTCCGTGTGCACAGCACCAGTGATTCACAGATGATGTGAGGAAGGGAGACAGGGAAGGAAGGACCACTAGCAGAAGACAGCAGTAGATTCCCTGTGCCTTCCTCATCCTCCCTCTCCTTCAAGGTCCCTCTCCTTCCCACACCCCTCCTTTACCAGTAGCAGAGATGCTCCTGAACAGCTGTCCATGCCTCCCTGGTCGGGGAACACTGTCGGCTGAGTTTCCATGGTGACGGATAAAAGCCCTTCGAGAGAAGACATGGGATGATCTGGGGTTTAGGACAGAACTCAACCCTGGCACGGGCTCAGTCCAGTCCAGTCTGTACTTTCTAATATGAGACCCAGACTCCTACCCTTCCCAAGGATCAAGGCCCCTCCAGCCCTCCCTGCTGCCTGTCTGGGACTCAAACTGGCCTCTACCAGATCTACCCCACTCTCCATCACCATGTGTACCTACATGATCTAAGCCAACTTCCTCTAGATCCCAAGAAGTTGCCTCTGTACCCATCCTACTGTCTCCCCCAGGGGATCATGGTAGCACATTCTGACCATTCCCATCTCCTGAGCTATGTCTATCTATGTTCTGAGGCACGACACACCCAAGTCTCACCTAGGGGACCCAAGGGGATGCACCCCTTTAAATGGCCAACTCCAGTGGGTCAGGAAGGAGATATGCTCATCTACAGAGAGAAGAAAGAGGTAGCATCTGTAGACCCCATCCACATCTCCCCACTAATGCGCACCCCAACACTGACATCAAATCCCCCTCCTATTCGCATTTACAGTAGCATGTGCTATTCCTAAACAGCAGTTATTACATAATCTTCTATTTAGACATATGATTATTTGATTATCATCCATTTCCCCTCCATGAGTGCAGAGCTCACATCTGGTTTTATTCACAATTATATACCAAGAACCTAACCCATGGTCTGGTACACAGCCAACACACAGCTAATGTCTTGGATGAAAACTCAGATTGATACTGTTAGAAGGGTCCTACTCAACTCCCTTTTAAAGATGGGGAAAAGGATCTGGGAGGTGAGGTGACATTCCCAAGGACACCAGCTATAGTGCCACATGGCTGGGGCTAACGCACCTCATGCCTGGATCCCTGCTTTTCTGGAAGCACCATTTGGACCCTGAGAGCAGAAAGGAGGGGTCAAAACAAACCCAAGCTTCCTGATTACCTGATAGCTGGGGTGTTCTTCCCAGACCCAAGCCCCAAGAGGTCCTGGACAAATGGCAGCCCCACCTCATCCTAGGAAAGTCAGAGCCTGGAACAATTAGCACCACCTTCTTTCCTGTTCCCCTGCAAAAAGAATAGTGTGAATGGGGCTGGCAGGATGGTTCAGTGAGTAAAGGCTCCTGATACCAAGCCTAAGGACCTGAGTTCAATTCCAGGAACCCGCTGGCTAGAAAGCTAGAAAGAGAGAACTACTCCTGAAAGTTGTCCTCTGACTTTTCTACCGACACCCCCACATAACACACACACACACACACACACACACACACACACACACACACACACACCTCCAACCCTTATCCCCAGCATTGAAGGAGGGACCATCTCCCGCTGGTCCTCAAACAACAACGTGTTTGAAGCGCTGGCCTGACTTCTAGCTCTGCTCAGCAAGGATAATCCCAGTCTCAATGATTCCATTTCATCTCCTACCAAGGCCTGCCTCCCCGCTGGGTTTCACAGCTGCCTTCGTCCAGAGTTCCAGTCCAATCATCTGCTTTTAGGTTTCATTTTGCTTGACTGCTGGCAAGCTCCGATAGGAGCCCTGTGCCCACTTCTGAACCTAGATTTCCCCCAGTTTTCATTACTCACTTCCTTCTGCCTTTGGGTCCCAGCCATCAGATCCCTTTAGCTGAGTTTTAATGGTTTTTATCACTTTATCTTCTGACTTTTATGTAAGCTGCCTTTAAGGTTGGCATAAATAATAAATGAAT